TGTCGACTTTAGCCAGATAGCTACCTCTAATTTCCAAAACAGAACCTCGGAATGGAGCATACAGTGGTTGCCTCCTATTTATCATGTTGTAATGTTATCTATCGGAAGAGAGAAGTGTGGGAGAGAGAGAGTAATAATCATGCCAAACATTGAACAGCAGTTTCATTAAGAACCCATGTCAATTTTTCTACATCTTGTATAAAAAAATGAGGTAAAATCATGCATCTTTATATAAAAATTATCTGATCTTATATACCAAACAGGCATTTAGGTTCACAACTGCATTTCTTTTTTTCAAAACAAAGCAAATTGTAATGCGTTTGCCGTTAGTGCAAGTTATGGTATAGGCTTAGTAGGACTTCGGTTAAGATGGGCTTAAGATTGTGTTTTAGGTGGGGATTGTTCATTGCGTAGAAATTTTTGTATAGAATATGGAAACATAGATAGTATAGTGTTCAAAACATATAATTGTGAAATTAAAAAAAAATTCACCTGCAGTTCATTATTTGTAATTTTTATAGTTACTTCTCAACTGGTGGTAACCGCGGCGTGTTTCTCAAGGTAACAGTCAATTTAATGTTGCAAAGGAATGTGGGGCGGTAAACAGTTACGACAATGCAAACAGATCCATTGTATTATGAGTAGACACTGTGTATTGATTGACAAAATCACGAAGGCGACCGTAAAACTTTCAAAGTTAGGATTTTTATCTTATTATATTATTATACATTCGTGTTTTCTCGTCAGCAGCAACCCGCTATACAGAAAATCCTGAATAAACTCCGTATGCAGGACATCATATAGATAGTGGAAGCTGAAATTGAAGGATTTTGACAATTTCTTCTGTTTTCTTTGAAGTACCCCTTGCATGAAGTCCGTCCAAAACGTATAAAGGAATAAGTCGACAAGAAGGGGACATAATTAGTACCCATCGGAATATCAAATTTCAGTTAAAAAAACACGACCTCCTAACACAACAGTATGTTGTCGACCAAACAATCCAGTGTTTGGATAATGTCAGTTTCAGTGTACTTTTTGTTAGAATCCGATTGGTTTTTTTCATAAAGTACGATCTGTCTCTACCTAAAACAAGATACTTATTGGCCATTTGTTCTTTATACTGAAGAAACAAAGTTGAACCATTTCCTTTCACCGATATTTCAATTTAGTGTATGGAATGGTAGTCAGTCTAAATGGCAAATGTTTTAATATAGTGCAACAGGTGAACTACTTCAATTTGACGAACTCCAATAGGTCTATCGGTATTTTTTAGAGCCCACTTCTAATTCATACCACTTTTAAAGTAGCTAGTATAACAGTACTTTGAAGGCAAGAGTTTACTGCTGTTTAAAAAGATGTTGGAAGAGAGGTTTTTAACGAAATAGATCTATATTCATTTTAATTTATTTTCACATTTGACTTCCGTTGTGTTATTCATTTGACACATTCGAGGGGGAAATCTCTATTGTCACGTGCAACGATAAATTAATCCAAACCTTATAATGTTAATGAGGTGCCAAGCAGTCTGTTTGTATATGAAGGCAGCTCAAATCAGAATGGAGCTAAAATCTGATTCCCAATCTTTTATTTTTTTTCACATCAGACTGTACGATATTTCTAACTAATTCTGGAAGTGGATGTACTACAGTCATCGTTGGTGGAGTTATATTGATGGAATCAACATTGCTGTCCATCAGCAGTTTGCCAATTAGCCCTGACACAATTTTATTATGGAATGTATAACCGAAGAACCTTTATATTATATGTTTGCCATCAGATACAAGTCAGGCGAGAAACGGAAAATACAATGAAAAACAGAAATTTAAACTATGAAAAAAATATTTTTCTTTAACCTTCCCCGTTTTCCCCATTATTTTATTAATTAAACAATGTTTTAATACCATACCATACCATGTTACCTGCAAGTATAGAGGAATATCGTACATAATTGATTAAATAGACATTTGTTGTAAAAATGACCTAACAAACACCAGTCAATTTTTGTAATAATTGTTCAAACCTGTGTATTGTATTGGTAGCGTGTTCCGAATTCATTCCAGAAACTTGCATTGTAAAAACATTTTTGAAACCGATAATGCATAAGATAACACATTATAAAGTAACTCCCTAGCTCAAGAAAACATGAAGCAGGTCCGTTCAGTAGTATATCTATAGATATAAAAAAATAAGGAGATTTGGTATGATTGGCAATGAAACAACTATTCACCAAAGTTCAAATGAAGTGGATGTAAACAACTATAGGCGACCGTATGGCCTTCAACAATGAGAAAAACCAATACCGTATATTTGGCTATAAAAGCGCCCGACATGAAAAAGATGAACTAATTCTATTGAGAAAACTAACTTTATAACAAAACAATTTACAAAAAACAAATATGACAGACAACAACCAACGACAACGACTCAAATTAACACATAAGGAATGTGGCGGGGTTGAACATGTTTTAAGGCGCCAACCCTCCCCTAACGTAGGACATTTGTGTAACGGCGCTTCACAAGAACAAACTAAGCAAACCTATGTACGAAAAACAACTATGAGAGACAGTTAAAAAAAGACAACCACTTAATGACCGACTCCTGACTTTGGACAGGCACATATAGATTGTGGCGGGGTTAAACATGTTTACTGGCGCCAAACCGTCCCCCTATCCTGGGACAATGGTATAACAGTACAACATAAGGACGAACTATAAAAATCAGTTGAAAAGATGAACTCATCAGATCGATACAAAGCAGAAAAACAACTAACAAAAAACACAGACCGGACGTGGGAGTAAATTCATACATCCCCTCCAACAAACAGACACAAAGTACAGATCTGAGAGTATTCGCACTTACAGACTGCTAGTTCAAAGCCAATAACAAATTAAAACAAATCATGTATCTAAGACTGAAAAACATCCATCAGTTCACATTCAACATCCAATGGATTTAGTATAAAGACGTCATTAACAGTCAGAGAAACACATGACCTTGTGCAATGCCAAAATAAAGGTATCGACAGATTGCAGTACCGTGAATTTCATATGTGTACAACAATAATATTTAGTATGGTTTAAATTAACTGATAACAAAATCAATATTAGTATCAATAAAAACAATATTCAAAGATCTAATTACAGTGTTGAATATAGAGTCTGTTCAACTTAACGATAGTAGAAAAAAACATTGATTTACCGCACAAAACATTTTCACTCATAAATAGTCATCACTGTTTTAGCTAACACAATATGTTTTACAATACAAAACACATAAACATTACAAATTATGCAGTTAAATAAGGATTTAATATCTCTTTTACAAATTTCTTTCCTGTAATAATAGAAATAATTAGAAATAGAAATCCTGATTGGAGTTCGGGCAGAAAAATCTATAAAAACCCTGACTTTAACTGCTGTTAACTCATACCGCAAAGAAAGCTATAAAATGCCTAGCTAAAGTAGAAAAAAAGTATCATTTAGTAGATAATTATAGTTGCCTATTTATACTGGTACAAGTAATATTATTACATATTCGCTCAATGAAATGTTTTATTTTTGGCGCATTTGATATATGCCATCAGGAAAATTTATGTGTGTCAACGTAACATTGGAGCAAATGAATGATATATTGGCGCAAAAGTAAAACGCTCATACATTGTACACCATTTCTCTTTCAGGCAAAGAAAAAACTAGTACTAATTCTTATTGACCAAAGTTACTACATAACTATGATACAGGTGAAACTGAATAATTATATACAGCACGTTGGTTTTTACAAATATAACCCCATTTCAATATAAATAATGTTTGTAATATTTGTACGTAATTTCTCTGTTGATAATTTTAAAATCTTGAATAATACGAAAGACATTTGTACTTTCAGTGACAGACATTAAAGAATCAGCATCCAATGAGTTATGAATATTTATTATGGCTGACACGACAAGTTGTTTTAAGCATACCACCTCTAAGTAAATGGTATTGCTTTCAACGTACGATGATGTTCAGATTCTCAATCAGTAACTTATCCTTAAGGTGTTCAATAAGAAAACTACCATTAGTTCTCATTCTAGTCTACATGTGTCTATTATCACTGAAAAATAGTGTCAGCTAGCTTCTCAAAAATTTATTGAAAGTATATGAAAATAAGTGCTTAATATGACTCGGTAGTTCGTTCTAAAGACAGTTGACAGACGAAAACTATAAAAAGGATAACATGAAGGGTCACGTCATTTAATCACCAACACCCGACTCCACAGAAACAACGAGACATGCAAACAAATACAAACAACAACGAACCACACATGGTACAGACGTTATGATATTTTTAGATTGATACATTCCTTTTCCATATCTGTGAATATCTTGAGGGCTTTAGCTCGAGGGAAAAATCAATCGATGGATAAAAAATGATACATTATTTCCTAATAAATTATTCGGTATATTTATCGGTTCTACAACAAACCATCTTGGAATGTTCAACCTATTTTCTTACTCTTTTATCTTGATATATAAAAATAAGGAGATGTGGTATGATTGCCAAAGAGACAACTACCCACCAAAGTTCAAATGAAGTTGATGTAAGCAATTATAGGCAAATGTACGGCCTTCAACAATGAGAAAAACCCATACCGTATAGTCGGCGTTAAAAGGTCCCAACATGAAAAATATGAAACAATTCAATTGAGAAAACAAACTGCCTAATTTATATAAAAAACAAAATTACATGATTTACTTTGAAAATTAGAATATTTCCTTACAGCCAAAAATTATGTAAGACAAATTTGCCTAGAAAAAGTCATAAAATTAATTGCCTTTCTAGTCGTTATTTAAAGACCACCGCCCCAACTTTGTGTCTCGGCTAATATCAACTTGTAATCGACAAATATATTTATTTTTTCAATGCCGCATAAAGAATTTACACATTTTACAAATAAATTATAAATCAAAACAATGATATATGATGAGTTATTAGTAAATAAAAAAAGAAATGTTTTTTTTAGTGGGAAAAGCAAATACGTGGATAAAATAAGATACAATGCACCTAAATATCATTTTGTAGAAGGATTTTATACCACAAGGTAATTACGTTTTTTAGATGTTTAGGCTGATTTTCCAATGTAATGTTTTCATCGATAAATTTCCTAGATGATTTTTAGGAAATTATTATATACAGTTAGAATCATTAGAAATCATTTACAATTTATTTATAATATATATATATATATATATAGCAGGGTTTAAGAACATCCGTTGTTCAACCTGCTAGTCAAATGCGTTTTGTTAAAATATACTTTTTCATTTTTTTTGTCTTTTGGAAAATGTTGTTTGTGCTGTATTTAGACCCCTCTACCAAGAAATTTGTTTTGCATGCACACGTATACAATTTGCGGTTTTTATCCAACGCAATCATAAGTTTGAACGTTGTTTTCAATTTAGACTTGTTTATATTTTTTCGTTTGGGCTTGTATCATATTTGCCTTCGGGTTTATATGATCCGTTCATCCTATTTCGACTCTTCAAACAGTCTATCCTAAATTGAGGTAAATTATATGGCCTACCAAATACCGTTTCGATTCCTAACATCACTGAAGAGACATTATTTGTCGAAATCCGGATATGGTGTACTAATTGTTGCACCTTTTGTTTGCGGTATAACATCTTTTCCGCAAGTTTATTGTTTTCTGCGGTGTAAGGAGTGTGGAAAATGTGTCACTCAAAAAATGAATAACAGGTTATATGTACCATTGTAGTCCTTGTTGGAAATATCATAAAAAGATAAGGCATACTCTCCCCTCCCCCCATTCCTTTCAAATGCATTTCGTGTATCTGTTCCGAGTCGGTAACCTGTGGTTGTCTTAAGATTTTACTGTGTTTGTTCTTTAGTGAATTTGTTGTTGGGATTTGCTTCTACTTTTTTCGACTTGGAGCTATTTGGTGTTAAAATTTTTACACGTGAAAAGAGATATTGTAAGCAGTAACCAAAAATAGTTTGTCTTGGATGCATTAGATTCACAAGTCAATCTTTTTTAATTTAACCGAATCCCCTTTGACACTAACCTTCGACGATACCTAAAAATGTCTGTCAAATAGTGACAGTACGCGCACTTTTCTTGGAATTGCAATTTATTCCAATTATCATGAAGCTTACATAGTATCTTTGAATTATAAAAGCTATTGGTATGAACGTATAAAGAAGATAATTTCTGAACTATTGATTTATTTATTGTTCAATAGAAAAAATGAAAGTACAGATATTCTTAGTAGTGGTAATGCTTGTTGCAACGTTGTTCGTGTCTACAACTTTGGGACAATATTGGCGTGGTAAGTATATGATGTTTTTTTTAGATTTAGAAAAAAATGTCTTCAGTTCGTGTCGGAGCTGTCTGCTTGAAAAATCGAGAGATGCGTTCGTGACAGAGCAACAACACATTAAAAAATACGCAAAGATAAAGATAGGCATTTTTCAATGAATAGATTTGATGGCATATCTTTGATTGATTGTTTGTTTGTGCGAGTTAATTCACAACTTGGGGCTTGGCATATTGTCAAGTCATCTTTTTTTTGTGTCTTTTTGTCAAATTTTCTATCAACTACAACACCTTTATTGTTGACGTCTTTGTTAGATTTATTTGTTCGACTTATTTGTATGTTTGTTTCAATTTTTTAGTCAATTGTGATGTATTTTAACACAGTTTTGGCTGCTGGATCCCAATTATTGTCACATAACCTATTATATATGTTTGGATTGCTCACCCAATAATGTCAATATAACGGAACTATATACAACTTACTGTCATAAAAGTTAGACGTTAAGCTTGCTATAAAATTTAACCCGCCATTTTCTTCGGAAAATGCCTGTACTAAGTCAGGAATATAACAGTTGTTTTTCACTCGTTCCGTTGATTGATAACGTTTGATTTTGTCAGATTTTATTGACTTCCCCTTTTTTAATTTAGCTTGGAGTTTAGTATTTTTGTTATACTTTTTTAATATTGAATATTGTATGTCTTTTAGCTATTTGTGTTGTTGAGTTGCCACCTCATTGACCTACATATATACCCCACATCTATTTTTTTCATAATTTTTCAAAATAAATCATAAATTGTCTCTAAACGCCAAACATGTGAATATCTAAGACATGATCAAGCATGAAGAAAACCAGTCATTTTGATTTTATGAAGCACAAAGGTTCTTTAGCGCCATATTAGAATTATTAGTTGAAATTGGATCTTGAGCTATAGTTGTCAGGGATTACAAGTATACTCGATGGTCGATAATTTTTGTCCTATATCATATGTTAGATGTTTCTGAGCTTAGAACCGTCTGAATCATGTTAATTTCAACTGAAAATTACACTTTGTTCTAACGTTGTGCTGTTACACCATTGTTTATATTAACAGTGAGTTGATTAGGGTTCAAAAAATGTTTTTTTTTGTGCCTGTCCAAGCACGCTGTAGTCTAGCGGCTGTCGTTGGTTGTCATCTTTCAATACTGTTGCCATCACTTGGCGTCCGTCGTCGTCGTCGTCCGTCCGGTGTAAACTATTTCAAACATCTTCTCCTCTGAAACTACTGAACCAATTCCAACCAAACTTAAGCTGAATGATCTTTAGGGTATCTAAAATAAAGTTTGTGTTTTATTTTCTGTTTCGTCAAAAAACATGGCCGCCATGGCTAAAAATAGAACATAGGGGTAAAATGCAGTTTTTGGTTTATATCTCAAAAACCAAAGCATTTACAGCAAATCTGACATAAGTAAACATGTTCATTAGGTCAAGTTCTATCAGTCCTGAAATTTTCAGATGAATCTAACAACCATTTGTTGGGTTGCTGCTAATAAATAGGTAATTATAAAGAAATTTTGCAGTTTTTGGTTATTATCTTGAATATTATTATAGATAAAGATACACTGTAAACAGCAAAAATGTTCAGCAAAGTAAGATCTTCAAATAAGTTTGATGACCAAAATTGTCAATTAACCCCTTAAGGAGTTATTGCCCTTTAAGGACAATTTTACACAATTTGTTTATCATGTTTTCCAATTTTAAAAAATCTTCTCCTCTGAAACTACTGAACCAAATTAAACCAAACTTAAGCTGAATGATTCTTAAGTTATCTGGAATAAAGTTTGTGTTTTATTTTCTGTTTCCTTAGAAAACATGGCCGCCATGGCTAAAAATAGAACATAGGATAAAATGCAGTTTTTGACATATCTCAAAAACTAAAGCATTTAGAGCAAATCAGACAAGAAGTTAAAGTATTCATTAGGTCAAGGTCTACCTGCCCTGAAATTATCAGCTAAATCGGGTATCTGATTTTTAGGTTATTGCCCCTGAATTGATGATTTTAAGGAAATTTTGCAGTTTTCGGTTATTATCTTGAATATTATTATAGATAAAGATAAACTGTAAACAGCAAAAATGTTCGGCAAAGTAAGATAAACAAATAAGTTTATATGACCAAAATTGTCAATTGACTCCTTAAGGAGTTATTGTCCTTTAAAGACAATTTTTCACAATTTGTTGATCTAATCTAGTTTGCTTACTTTAAAAAATCTCCTCCTTTGAAACTGCTGAATCAATTTCAATCAAACTTGGGCTGAATGAGTTTCAGAGTATCTTGTATAAATTTTGTATTTTATTTCTTTGTACGTCAAGAAACATAGCCACTATGGCTAAAATGGAATATAGGGGTAAAATGAATTTTTTTGCTTTTTTTTAAGAAAATATAATAGATACAAAGAACATTTAAATGGCATTTTTAAGCCACTCATTAATATATGTTGAAAAGAAAAAATAATCATTGATGAAAGATTTAAGCAAAAATTTACAGGTGAGCGATTCAGGCTCTTGAGAGCCTCTTGTTGTTTAATGGTATTAGATTAAATCCGACCATAAGTTCTATTATTTTTAATGCTTAATATTTGTAACCCCCAACTTTTTATAGCTGACTATTCGATACGGGTTTTGTTTACTAATTGTTGATGGCCTTGAGATGTTGACATTTAGTTGTTTACGCCCTTGTCTTCTGATCTTTGACCAAGGTAGATAGTTGTCTCATGACAGTGGCATTCCCTTATTCTAATATGCATGATTTTATAGGTGTGGTTTACTATTTGGTGGAAGTTTTGTAGAAACACGTCCAGCGTAACTATTTGTTATTTAAGCAGGCGTAGTGCGAACGGCTGAGAAAAACCTGTATGCGCTTTCAAATCTGTATACTACGTTCATTTTAAGCAAGGCTTGAATTTATGTTAATAAAGAATGCCATATATACCAGGTAGTATTGTGAATACAAGATTAAAAATGTTCACCGTTTACCTTTTTTCTAAAGTGAGATATCGTTTCAACAAAAGTAACTGTAATGCATTATGTTGTAGAATTTAATTTAAGTATCTATTTTGGTCGTAAATCATATTAATTCTTACAAACAAAGAAAAATAAATGTACAAATGTAACTTGCGATAAAATTGTATTTGACATTCTTATTTTGAAATCGTTAAAAATGTTTAACTTAAATGTTTTTATTGTGTTGTGTAACAATTCATCAATTGATTCATTTTTCTATGCAGGTGGAGGTGGAATGTATAATAGAATGGGTGGAAACAGACAATTTAGTTCGTTTGGTGGAATGCGTGGAGGCGGGAATTCCAATTTTGCGAGATGGTATGGGCGATAAAAACAAACTGCAATAAACTTTTGTCTTATATTTGTACTGTACATATCTACCATTTCAAATGTGGAAAAAATATATAAACATATTTAATTTTTGCCTTACATATATTCTATTCTGAACAATCAGTTAAAACTTTTGTTACATAGGTATGTCTCATTATCGATATGTTTTGTCATGAGGACGGAATTTTACTTCCCTTTCTCGACCTGTATCTCCAATATATAACTAACATCTGAATCTCACAAAAAAGTTTTATTCAGTGGAGTACGAATTGGTGAATTGAGCACAATATACTAATCTTACTGTGGTACATTCAAACTCATAAGTCGAAAATAAACTGACAACGCCATGGCAAAAAACGAAAAAGACCAAAGACCAAAAGGCAAACAACAGTAAACGAAGCAGAACATAGAAAACTAAACGAACTCCACCAAAATCCGGGGGTACATAATCTCAGGTACTCTGGAAGGGTATGCAGATCCTGCTCCACATGTGGCACCCGTTGTGTTGCTCATGTCAGAACAAACCGGTGATAAGTCTAATTCGGTAGGTCACATTTGAGGAAAAGCGGACGGGACTGTGGTAACGGCAATTGGAATATATTCGTCGTCATCTGTGTGAAACAGATATTTCATAACGGTAAAACAACTCGTGATGGCGTCCGTAAAATTTTCGAAGGAACGATTTCAACATCACCACTTAAAACTCTTGGTTTAATAGCTTCCTTGTGAGCAGCTTGTGATGTAAGTCAAGATAGGAAATGCAAGCCCTGGAATATCGTATTAACATTGAGATATATACTCCATATGCAGGCGCTGCTGGCCTGTTGCTACATAGAAATGAAAAGTTCATAATTGGGAAGCTGTAATCCTCTCTTTTGTCGCAATGTTCCTAATCGTCCCTAATTGTCAATTTCTAGATGTAAGTCAAGATATGAGGCAGACTCAAATCTATCTGTTGTGTCCTTTATTTCAAGTTCGATGGGATAGATGCGTTCAACATAGTCACCAAACTGAATTATTTAGTGAGATGACATCATCTATTTAGCGTAAATTGAAGTTGAAGGATGATGCTAGCTTCCCATGGGAATGCCGATTGTTTGTTGAAAAACACGTCCTCCAAGCGTAACAAATATGTTGTCAATCAAGAAATCAAGCATCTTTATAATGTCAGTTTCAGAGAATTTTTTGTTCTAATCAGAGTGATTTTTAGCTTTTTTTTACAAAGTACGATGTATTCATCCATAAGACAAGCGACTTGTATCTACGTTGGCCATTCTTTTTTATGAAACAAAGCAAGACCAATTCTTTCAATTTGTTTTAACATTTAAACATTGTTTAACATGTTACTGAATTTTAAAAGCATTAATCATTTTTTTGAAGTCTTCCAATTTTCAACAACTAAGTTTTCGAGCTTTTTCAATATTCTCAGACCCTTTAAATATGTCTATTTAGGATAATTGTATATTTTAGAATTCATTTTCGAAAATGATAATAAATTCAAAGATCAAATAATTAGTGTAGATATTTTTAATTATAGAACATAAATGTACGGTTTTCTAGATTTAATTGCACTTGTTTTCTATAAATGAATGCAAACTTTTGTTGCATAACATTCGATTTAGCAGGCATTTTTCATTAAGTTCCGTGATCTAGCTCGTGTTTCTGCAACATATACAGAAAGGGGAAAAATAAATACATGTAGAGATTGACACGCTATCAATTTTTTTTGGCACAGCAACGTTATAATCTTAATTTACACAATTCTCATTTAACATTCGGTTCTCTTCAGTTTTTTTTCCTTTAGTGGAAATTTTACATAATAACTCTACTTTTATCATTTTTCCCAACATTACTTTTTGCCTGGACGTTTTCCCTTGAACTAATTGTCAACGGAGTGCTGACGGAGATTGAGCATGGAGAGTCAAATGAGAAAGGAGATAATGTTTTTGTAACCAAAATTTCCAGTACCTTTGATTGAAGAAAACAGGTTATTCAGTGGGGTTTCGTTTTTCTGCGATATTCATTTTTATTCTTTGCATAAAAAAGGTTTTGTTACAAAGTGTTTGACTGATTATCATCTAATTACATATTTTACGATGACATGTATCTGCTCTGCATGCAGTACTTAATAAAAATAAGTAATTCATTTAAACAAATGAAGTCACTAGAAGAAATAAACACACTATATCAATTTGATATATTGTGATTATTTTTAAATAACATGCTAACCATAACAAAAGTACTTTAAAACAATTATGCTCAGGGTTGTATGATTCCTAAGTAAAAGTTCAATAGGTTTTTGTCTAACTTACCCAGTTTATTTATATCACATTAACATAATTTAAGACGGGTGTTTCCTATATAAGCGCACGAAGCACTAAGGATTATTTGATGACATTGTTTGGTAATACGATAGACAAATTTTCGGAAAATCGTATGCTTTACAACATGGCAGCCTCCGTCAGCAGGGTAAAACGCAAGTGCAAATGTTGTAAAAAAGATTAAACGATTTTGGATTCACTGGCATACATGTATAAAAATTGTCACTGGAGGTTAAATTGACACCTATCAATCTATCAAATATCAACATTGAAGTATTTTAATGATGTAAGAAATTTTGAAAATAATTTTTCATAAAGTGCTGTTATGTTTACTTTTAAGTAACTTCTTTTGAGAAAACCAAACTATACCCTCCAAAAACATTTTCGTCATTTTGACACTAAGTGCAATCAACAATATGAGTTTGAGAAAGTTCGATCGCCAAAAATTAAAAAAAATAATATTTGCAAAATTAAAGACGACACTCATAGAGGGTTCAATCTATTTTAAGCAAACTTTCTTAAGATAATTGCACTTTGAATATTACTCAATCATCATATTCAGGAATATCCATTAAAGTAGTGAAAGTGCATTTAATACTAATCATTCTGGTTTACATCATGTGCAAAAAGATCTAAGACAAAATTATGCGGACAAAAAACATTATATATTTACGTATTTATCTATTGCCTGATGGTACTTCCCTTGACAAAAAGAGGCGTCTGTTTGGTTGTGCTGGTGATGAGCGAGTGTCACTCTCTATGCACGTTATAGAACTCGTGAAACAACTCTTACAAGGGTCCGTTGGTTGCCTGTTGCAATGCAAAGTTTTGGACCCTATCCAACATATCTTTATTTTCTAGTGGCAGTCTCAATTTGATGCCCTGAATCCCACAATGCAGAACCTACCTATTGTTTAAGTTGTTTTAATTTGTTCTCGTGCTGAATACCAGGAAATAATTTACAGGACGTCAAGCAAGCAAGCAACAATCAATCAATCATTGGACTTTTATTTATACCTGAAACCTTCAGATACAACGCCATTGAGAAGGTTTGATAGTACTTAATGTCTCGTTGTCGAGAACACTAAGCTAGTTTTAGGGATAGAAATTACAGGCTCCATCTGCAAAGTTTGATGGTGGTAACTATTGAATGGTGATACAGAGATGATGGTAACTTTTGAATGGTGATACAGGGATGATGGTAACTAGTGAATGGTGATACAGAGATGATGGTAGCTATTGAACTGTGATACAGAGATGATGGTAGCTATTGAATTGTGATACAGAGATGATGGCAACTATTGAATGGTGATACAGAGATGATGGTAACTATTGAATGGTGATACAGAGATGATGGTTACTATTGAACAGTGATACAGAGATGATGGTAACTATTGAACAGTGATACAGAGATGATGGTAACTATTGAATGGTGATACAGAGATGAATACATATACGTGTACAGCTTGGCACTATTAAGGCTATCTCTAGTTCAACAAATTTGTCTGGCATTGATTTTGAAACGAATAAAATTCTCTAACCGTCCAAAGTGTGAAAAATGGACAGTTTTCGACGATTTTTCAACAAACAAAGTTCCATAACTCCACAATGTCATATCAGAAATTTATAAAAAAGAACTACAGGGAGCTTATTTCAATAGCTATAAACAAGTCACCAAATTTTCATGAAAACTGCTCAAAGCATTTTTGAGTTATTGTCCGAAAACTGGAAAATCCCCCCTTTTTTATGAATAAAGTCCCAATACTCCAAAACGTGAAATCAGCATTTTTTTAAAATCGAAAGTTTCATGACAATTGATCATGTTCTTTCCATTAACAATCCGAACTTTTCTGATTGGGTTCCATTAATATATCCCCCAGAACTAGAAATTAAAGAAACAACAGACACGGCTTCATCCGCCTCATTTTTAGACTTATACCTCGAATTTGACATACATGGTCATCTCAGTACCAGAATTTATGACAAACGAGACGATTTTAATTTTAAAATTATCAATTTCCCCCACCTTAGTAGCAACTTATACCAACTTCACCTGCATATGGGATATACATTTCCCAACTTATTCGGTATGCAAGAGCTTGCAGCTCCTACTCATACTTTGTAAAACGTCACCAGTGTCTGAGCAGAAAGTTGATGAACCAGGGGTATGTCAAAGAACGTCTCGTCCTTTTTCTAAAAGTTCATCGGAAGGTACCAAGACCTTGTTGATAAATATTCCGTGTCAACTTCACAAATAAAACATGATGGTCTTGAAGTATAGATTCTGCGTATTGACGCTGTTTATCATCTTAATAACGTGTTAAAGTGTTCTTTTATTTGCCTTATTAATATTACTTTTACTGAAGTGTTCTTTTATTTGCCTTATTAATATTACTGTTTGGTCGGTTTTTGGTGATATACATTTGACGTGGCTCTGTACTTATGCATCCCGTCATTGTGTTGTTTGTATTATTTTTCATTTTTACTTGTGTGCTTTTTCCGTGTGACTTTTTATGTTTCTTTGATACATATGACGTGTCTCTGTACTTTAAACATCCCGCCATTGTGTTATTGTTCTATTATAATTTTTGCATACTTGGACTGACAAAATTATTTTATATCTTTACCTGTGTGACGTTTACATTCTGACGTCAAACACGCGATTCTACGCCAGAGTTAATGTTAAAATTACGATTCGGTCCCAGTGCTTAAAATCCCTCGATCCTTTATGGGTTGATTTGGCATACATAAATAAAATACAAACATAAGTAAGCAATG